CCCAAACCGGGGTGTCACTAGTCATGAGCATCTACTAAGGTCTAAATACGACTGACAAAGTCTGAAATGTACTAAGTACAGACTAATAGAATAAAGAGGGAGAAAAGCAGTGCTGCGAACGCTGGCAGCTACCTTGCTAAACTCCAATGACTCTGCCTTCGATCATCCAATACCCGCTACCGGGTTCAGAAAAATACCTGAATCTGCACACAAGGTGCAGGGAGTAAGGTGAGTACTTCCAACTCAGTGAGTAATAATCATAAATAAAGACTGAGTGATAAAAAATCACGAAAAGTGCATCAACATGTTGTATAGAAGTAGTACAAAACCAGTAAGAAAGCAATGAAGCTGTGAAATCTCTTAAAATATCTTGGCTCAGTTTAAACTTCTTTATCATTCACCTTTTCAACAGTTACGCAAATGAATGCAAAACAGTTAATGCAGAGAAGCACAGAAAATCCGCCCCTCGGGCACAACTACACAATTAAACAGGTAAATGACAGGCAAATAAGAAAGATAAGCACATAAGGTTCGCCCCTCGGGCACAATGTCAACAAATCCGCCCCTCGGGCAATATCTCAGAACAGTACCAGCCCCTCGGGCAATCACATAGAACAATACTAGCCCCTCGGGCTATATCTCACATCACAATGGGTAGCCGCGCTCACTGGGGGTGTGCAGACTCCTGGAGGGGCCCTTTACGGCCCAAGCGCAATATCAAGCCATCTCGTGGCATCATAAACAGGCTCTCGGCCTCATATTAATATCAAGCCACCTCGTGGCGTACAATCTCAGGACCTCGGCCTCATAATCAATATCAAGCCACCTCGTGGCGTACAGTCTTAGGCCTTCGGCCTCATAATCAAAATCAGTGTATTACCGCTGCGGTGTGCAGCCCGACCCAAAAGATATCCTCACATCGCAGGCCCTCGGCCGTACTCAGTCAAAATCACATAAGCCTCTCGGGCAACAGTAAAACAGTGTTTCTCAGCCCAAAACATCATTTAAATATCATTTGAGTATTAAAACTGAGTGAACATGGCTGAGTTTTTAAAACAGTGGAAAATAACATGAGTGAGTTCAAGTATAAAGTCAAAACAGTGAGGAAATATCAACAAAAATCCCCGAAGGGTTCAAATAGTTGGCACGAAGCCCAAATATGGCATTCAGCCCAAATAATCATGATAGCAAATAGATTTCGGTCAAATACACGGTAAAATCATCAATCGGGACGGACCAAGTCACAATCCCCAATAGAGCACGACCCCACGCTCGTCATAGAGCGTGTGCCTCACCTCAATATAGCACTACGATGTGCAATCCGGGGTTTCAAACCCTCAGAACATCATTTACAATCATTACTCACCTCGAACCGGTCAAATCTCCAGCTCGCGACGCCTTTGCCCCTCGAATCGGCCTCCACTCGCGTCGAATCTATCCACAATCAAAACGGGGACGTCAAAATAGGCTAAAGGAACGAAGCCCAAGCGAAAATAATCAACAATTAGCACAAATCCCGAAATTACCAAAACCCGACCCCCGGGCCTAGGGGTGTGCATTCGAATCGGTTTATCGATAAATCGAATCGATTATTTGTTATCGGTTTATCGATATCGGTTTATCGATTTCGATTTCGATTTCGATATTTTCCTTATCGATTTCGATTTCGATTTTGTCCTCTTCGGTTTATCGGTTTATCGATAAATCGATAAGAAATACTAAAAAAAAAATAAGTTTTTTTATTTTTTTTGCCCTTATTCTATAATACCCTCTCCTTTACCCTAAGTCCCTAACCCTCTTATTTCATCTACCACATTTAAGGAATGATCATATTTAAAGCTCAAGGGAGTGAAGTTCAAATTAATGGAAAATAGAATTAGCCGTGATGATTTTTTTTTAATACCGTTGGAGTGTTGGTGGCATACATTTGATCCCTTACTTTAGTTTCGTTGCATGTGCTTGTTGACACAATTTTTATGTTATAAACGGTGTTCGTCTTATTTTAGCTTCTTTTGGTCCATATTAGTTAGGCGTGTTTATAGTGATATACTTTTCGTGGAATCCCGCAAATTTTCTTATTGGTGTAATCGATAACCGAATCGATAAACCCCAAAAATCGATAAATCGAAATCGAAAAAATCGAAACCTTATTGAAACGATAACGATAAGCATATGTACAAATCGATAATCGATAAGTAATTATCGATAAGGGTCAAAATCGAATNCTACCAATCCAACTTCCTTGCCTCCTGATGCTGCAACTGAAATTGGAGGGAAAGCTGTTGAGCTCAGAAGTTATATAGACCCAACAAAAGGTATACTGGGTCAGTCTCTTCTTTTTTTCCATTTTCTTTTTGTTTTCTCTTTCTTGTTTGTAGGCAGTTTTAAACTTTAGATCTTTCTTTGTAGACAATGATTCATCACTACACACTCAGTTGTGGATAGATCCTACTGAAGAGTTTGTGCAGTACAATCATATCGGAAACCCTGTGGATGTGACCTTTGGAGTGAAGGAATCGAAGGTATCCTCGTTTCTCGTCGCTGATAGGAACTTTTCTAATCCAACTAAGCCTTTTCCAAGTCTGAAACCTTTTTCTTCATTTATTTCATTGATGACATGTAATCACAATTTTGTTGCTGTAAAATAGTTCTTGTGTTTTATGGAGGTCTTTGTAATGTTTGCTGAACCTTCTTTTTTGTTTCTTTTGCAAATTTTCTATTCAGGCCTTCCTTTCTTTCTGTGAGGGATGTGAAGTTGACATACACTTCTATTTTGATAAAGCTGGCGAGTAAGATAATCTCACTCTGCTTCTCCATTGACATCAGTTCGTCGTTGTTTTTTTTTACCCTGTCCTTGTCTTCAGTAAGAGGAACTCTTTGCGTTTAGGATATTTGCACAGAAAGCTATTGTGAAGTCAGGACATTCTCCATATCAGCACTTGTTGGCTTGGATGGTTGATCAGTAATTCAAAGGAGTATAATACTAATCTGCTCTCATCACAATGATAATTTAGATTGTATGGTTTTTGTAAAACGGCTTAATGAGGATATTCACTTACTATTACTAAGAAAATGAAAGAAAAGGTGAACGCAATAACGTCCAAAGACATGTCTGCTACTTAATCAATTTGGCTAGTATGTTTAAATTAATTGCAGTTGATTATTGTGGGAGATAAGGTTGGCCATCTCTCCTGACAAGACGGGTCGCAACTTTTGGCTTTACCTGTTACTGGACCCAGTACATACTACTTCGGAGTCTCGTGGATCTAGTGTATGGACCATGTTAAACTACTAATGAATGTGCATTTGTGTGCATATGTGTGTCCCTTCAATTATTATGACTTTTTTAATGTCGTACAATTTCAATTCTTTAGTAGATTTCTTCTTTGCTGTTTTAGGCACAAGTTTTTTGTTTTCATATAAGATTTTCTTCTAATTGAACTGAAATCATGGACAGGCCAATTCTAATGACGCCAAAATTTGGTTTAGATGATGGCTCGATCTCAACTTTTGATGCCACCTTGGTACTTGCAACCATGCTTATGTCCCAGCTCAATACTGCTGGCTCCTCTGAAAATCCACAAGTTGCTGGCACTTCCCACGGTGAGGCTAATGATGGAAGACAGGCCCCACCCCAGGAGAGATCAAAAGGGAATTCTGGGCTTCCATCTGATCAGACCAGGATTTGGTCCGATCTTTCAGGTTATTATTCTCTGAACTCTTGTTTATAGATGGTACAAGATATTTGATGGTAATATTTACTTAATTGTCATAAATTTCAACTAAAAAACAGGAAGCAGAACAAAAGGTGGTAATGGTGCTGAACCTGGAGGGGGTAGAAATGAAAATGATATTGAACTAAGGGAAATTCACCGAATTGGTGCAATACACATTTCTGAAGCTGGAGCTGCTGGAAGAGATATGTCTGATATACATAATGAGTATCCTAAACTTATTTTGCTGTCAAAGTTATTAGCAATTTTAATGCTCCATTTTTAAACCTATTATTAACTGCAAAACATAAGCTAAAGTGGTTAAAGCTAGCCAACATGTCAAGTAAAATTGGTTTGCCAAAAGTTTCAATTATAGGTACATATTTTACAAACCTATCGAGGGGTAAGAAGTATGAGGTTTTGGTCCCAAACTATAAACCTTTGTCCATCTGAAGCTAATATAATGGGAAGGTATTTATACGACAGGGCACCTATATCAACCGTTTCAAATTTCTTGCATATTTTCTTCTGCATTTTCCACGTGGTTGTTCCAGGTTGTAGTGGATAACATGTTATGCTGAGTCAGCTCTCTTTACGTTAAGCGGTCATTTGGCTGACCTCATAAGAAAAGTAATCCAATGAAATTCCTTATCTAATACACTCTTTCATTTGAAATATTAAAGCTCTGCATCACTGATGTAATATCTACTTAAATAGTTTTCAAGTATAAAACTCTACATAACTTATGCAGCGTTGGTTTCCGATATTAAACTCTATATACGTGCATGCATAATTTATACGTGAATCTAAATATTATTTTATGCGGGATAGAATCTGAAATGATAATGTATATTAACAATTCAAGGATAAAGTATCGGAAAGACAAAATTACCCTTAAAGTAGGCAGTCCCTGCATATCAATCCCTAGATTATTATTCATTGCATAGCAATTCATGTTATAAACCCTTGTTTAAGTAGTCCCTTAACCAGACAGCCCCTAGCGGTATCTAGGATGGACATAGTAACTAGACGAAACTGCATACACACACACACATACACGCAGATACACATGCTCCAATCATCCAGATGATCTATGTGAGCGAGATAATGGATTTTGATGGTGAATTTGAAAATAGGTGTGAAATTCAAAGTATTTTATAAGTGGACTTCCCAGACGAAAGTGGCTTTTCTTGACAATATCCATTAGCTTCCCTTCTGAGGACAGAAATCATTTGGAAGAACCTCAAGGTTAGTCAGATTCCAACTCTGGTCATTTTAATTTTTCTAGTCTAATCAGCTTAAGATGCTCCAATTGTGTTCTTCAGGCATGACAGATTTGAAAGGTCATGCTTCTCAACACCATCCTAGTAACTGGGTAGATGCAGATGACGACGATGATGAAGAAGATGAGTCGGAGTTGTGTGTTCAATCAACGCCTCCATATCATTAGGAATACAGCAACTCCAGTTGCTCTGTAATCCTTACAGGCAATTGTTTATTGGTGATGTCTGTTGTCAGTATGTACAGTTGTCCTCCCAATGCTCCACTAATCTGACTTTGCACTTGGTTCCCTCTTACCTAAGCAGTCCTCTATGGTTAAATCATGTTTACCATGAATTATATTTGGCCTGCAAGCATATATGATGATACAGCTCATTAGTTTATCTTTTGAAAATTTCGTTTTCTCATTCTGGTAAAAGAAAATAACACATGGAGAGAGGCTAGTAACTCAGTACCATACAAATAACATATCCTTTTGGAATCTTTAATTAATAGAGGATCTTTTCTATCTTAGTGAAATGATGCCGGCTTCTCCATGTAAAAATTGGCTGATCACTCCTCCATGTTGCAAGTATAAGCGATTTCCGGGATAAGTATAGAAAAGGTTCGCAACAAGTCTCCTTGTTAGTAGATAGGTTTCACGACTCAAATCCCACCAAGTCGTGATGACATCTAACCCAACCCGCTAGGCGAACTAAACAACATACAAGACAACCTAAACTGAACATCAAATAAATAATAAAATAAGAAACGAAATTTAATACAAACTACTCCAAGAAGTGGTGTCACAAGTCATGAGCAACTAGAAATAAGAATACTCTGCAGATATGAAAGAGTACATTATGAGGTTGAATATACATAAATAGAAATATAAGATCCTAGGCTACCATGAACAAATAGCAAGTGATAACTAAGATGTTGATATGTCTTCAGTGCTCGCTTTCGAACTTTGCAACAACTCAACTCTAGAATCTGCACGCAAGGTGCAGAAGTGTAGTATGAGTACAATCGACCCCATGTACTCATTAAGTATCAAGACAAATCTCAATGAAGTAGTGGCGGTATTTAGTCAAAAGATACTCACTTTATATAACCTGTGCAGTTCATAAGCATATACAAAAATAGTGAAACAATCAAGGAGCAACAAATATGAATAATAAGGTGCACAATCGAAGTACAAGATAGGAAGCATGTTTTTCTTAGATATCATGATCAAAAGCATATATCAATGCTCGTAACTATCCAGTCACTACTCCCCTTAATAGGGACACAATAAAACATGTAGATCCAGAAACACGTGCTCACACAATCAGCACCTCGGTGCTCAAGCTATATGCAAAAAAAAATCCGGCCTCGAGTCCTCCGGACTGACCCAACATCAGCACATAGAGATCACATCTCGCCCCTCAATCAGGGAATCACAAGCCATCAATGCACATCTGATACTGAGCGCTCATTCGCGCA